CGCACGGGTCCTCAATCTTGGAGAGGTTGGTGTAAATTTCCCTGACGATCGTGGGAAGCTGGAAGGATGCGAGGAATAGCTGGATGTGGAACTGCCTCTCATAATTCAGCGTGAAAAGCAGGTCCCTATTCCTCATGGAAGGGGCTCCTGGGCTCAGGCCGGCATTCCTTAGCCTTTGGCTGCGCCCCTCGCTGCCGTGGACTGCCCCCTGCCCCCCACGCACCCCGGGAGCCCTGCCTGTGACACAGGGGAGGCAGGAGGCAGTCCTCCAGCGAGGCGCCCGTCTCCCGGGTCCTCGCCCAGCACTTCGCCCACCGAGTGCCTGCGCCCAATTCAGGGCATGGAGATTCGGGAGGGGAGCTGAATCTTTCCTCCTCCGGTTGGAGGCTGACCTTCCCCCTCCTACATGGAGAGCAGCTGACCGAAGAGAAAAGGAAGCAACCGTCCCCCCGCCTTTGGACCCCGAGAGAACCAAGCTGGTTGCGACTGCAGTCAGACAAAGCCCGGAACGGGAGGAGGAGGGGCTGCAGGGGTTGGGGCAGCCGGGCAACGAGCTGTGGCCCGATGTTCCCCCGCTGTTGCGAAGTGCCCATCGCCCATGGGCACAAGCCCTGCTCCGCCCACTGGCAGGCACAGCCAGCCTGGGGGTGGCCAGGTGGCTGACTGGTGAACTACAGCAGCGCTACCGTGGGGGCAGGATACTGAGAGCCCACAGTGGGCTGTGCTGCCATGGGAACCATGTCGCTGACTCTCCCGGGGTTCCAGGGTGCCGAAACACAAGGCTGGCTCCTCTTCGCTGGGGCCACAGGGTAGTCCTTGGACTGCTGAACCCAAGAATTGCCGGAGACACACGAGGCAACTTAGCTGTGCATGAGCCCTTTCCTGAATAACTCAGGCATTTTCTATTCTTGAGTTGTTTTGTGACCTGTGATCACAGAAATTCTTGGTTGTCCTGAGTTGACTTGATTGTTCTGAGTTTAACTCATAAACAACCCAGAGTTTCTGGGTCTGCATGTCACACAACAACCCAGAAGGAGGCATTCCTGGGTGGCTAACAAGATTGGGAGTGGCTGCCGTGCTCTGCTTGTCTCTGCCAATTCCCAGGTGAAATAATCCAGGAATTGCCAAGGACCGTGTCTGTCATGACATGCAAACCAAGCCTGCAGCTGAAAGGGGCTCCCTTTCTGGAGCACCCGTGTCCTGTGTCCTTTCTGTTTCTTACACCGTCCATGTCCTTCCCACATTCCTCCAGGAAGGAGCGCAGCAGCACCCCTGCGGCCTGAGCCAGGTTCTTCTCTGGCTGCGCGAGGCACTGTGCTGCCCTGAGCGCCACTTCCGTGCTCTGTGCGGAGGACAGGTGCTCGCCAAACGCCTGGCCAAGGGAGAGAAGAGCAGCCCGTCAGGGGCCTCCCTGGCACACCCCATCGTTTCCCTCCCATCCAGGTGTGCCTTTGGGAGAGAGGCCGAGGACACATTGGCCCTGGTCCGGCAAGGGGGAGTGCGTTGCTCTGTTGCGACTGATGCACTTGGGGCCCTGAGAATCCAGGTCCGTATGAGAAGGAGGTCCCTCTGGGGCGCCCACAACTGGAGGATTGTGTTCCGCTCTGGGCTCCACCTTGCAGGAGGGACCTGGCCAGGTGAGAGTCGGTGCAGCGCAGGCCATGAGGACGGTGGCCGGATTGCGGGGGAAGCCGCCTGAGGCCACACTGAGGGAGCTGGGCTTGCCGGGCGGCTCCATTGCAGGTGCTAGTCCAGATATCTCGTCTAAATACTGCCCTCGTTAAAACCCTCCCTGGATGTGCTCAGCACCACCTGGACAGGACCCTTCTGCGGAACATGCGGCTTGGCATGTGCTGAGGTGGGGCTTCAAAGAGCATCTTCCCACCTGCAGGTTGAAATGGTGCAGCCCAGCAAAGGCTGTACCATGCACAGTCTGGTCCTATGGTCTAAAAGTCAAGGAGGGGAGCAGATAAAGGTGTGATGGGATTCGTGGGAGAAAGGGGAGCTTAGCAGACACAATCCGGATCGAAAGAGGGCTGGAAGCCGGGCCAGACCAAACTAACTCATTGGAATCGAACCCTCGAGAACCTGGAGCCGTACCTTTGCCACTTTCGGGATGTTGCTGTAGAAGACCAAGGGGCCAGGAAAGGTGAGGTCTTCCCGGAACCACTTCACAGCCTTCCCCTTCGGATTCCTCTGCCTCCTCTGCATTTCCTTGGCTGAGCCATACAGGGTTTCCCCCAGAAGGGAGAAGAAACACTGTCACTCGTTTCAGCACCAGTCTCAGCCCTTGCCGCTTGGGTCGCTCACTCACAGACGGACAGGCAAGCATCGCAACAGGTTGCCGGGGGCGGACCGGTACCTCGCAGGCCGGGCTGCTCCGCAGTGCGGACGGGCCGAGCAGAAGCACTCTGGAGAGGCGGCCACGGGCCCCTGGCTTCGGCCCAGCGGCCACAGAGGGGTCCCTGGGGGACCGCTGGCCCACAGGCCCGACGGGGGCAAGTGCTCTACCTGCTCTTGGCTTACCCATCAGCTCGCGGCTACCTACCCGTCTTGGTGCTGGCAACTTGGTGCAGGTGGTACAGGGCCTCCGCGGCGGCCTCGCCGATCTCCGTCACGCCGTCTGTGATGTGCAGGGCCAGCGCCGCCACCAGCTGCCCGAGCAGGTAAAAATCCGGTGTGAACTAGAGGGGGGGAGGGAGAGGCGGACGGTCAGGCCTCGCTCTGCCTGGCAGGGTTTCCCTTCGGCAGGCAGGAGGGGGCCCCTTTGCGGGGAGAGACCCCGGAGACACGCCACGGCCGGCACCTTCCCCGGTGACGCTGTGCGGCCCCCGACCTCCACCCCCGATTCGCCCCCCCTGCAGCCCAGAGCCAGAGCCTTGCAGGTGCTCCTGCCCGGCAGACGGAGGCGTGCTGGAGCCAAGCCCCCCTGGCTTCCAGGTTGGGGGCCAAGCCCTCAAATCGGGCTGGAAACGGCGCACTTGCTGCAGGACTGGCTGGTGCGGCACCTGCCCCCTGCTCTGGCCGGGGGGAACGGCCCATCCGCACCCGCTGCAGACTTCAAGCATGCCCCACACAAAGCCCGCTGCGACAGCCAGATGGCGAGGCTCTGGATGCGGGCCACGCTCTGCGCCGTGTGGCGTCCTTCCTGCCCCCGGGAGCCTCCGGGAGAACGCCAAGCGGCACACCTGCTGCAGCAGCGAGGGTGGAAGGACCCCGTGACAGCCCCCAAACCCAGTCCCTGAACCACCGTCGTCCCTTCTGCGCTAAACTCGTCGTGTGGGTCCCATCGGGCATCTGCCTGTGATGCCGTGGCAATGCTTCTGCCCCGCTTTGCCCCATCCTTGGCCTGGATGGGTCAGAGGCTTCCCGGCCCCACAGAACGTTCCTGCCCCCAGCAGAGGCGATCCCCACCCCTCTTCAGGTTTACTCCGGGGATGGTCGACCCGGCTGCTCCCAGCCGGGGCCGCCTTCACATGGGCTCGCTCACATCGACATTCTCCTGTTCGGA